GAAACGCACGTAAATTATGGCTGGTCGAAGGTTGCGTGTCAGTGAGTAGCACTCACCATATTATGAGTACATTTAATAAGACCATTATGCACATTCAACTAATACAAATTTATGTGTGTAGACTTTCGCAGGCATAAGCTTATTTTCTTTGTCCTATTTTATAGCTGAGTCTAATAAAATAATCTAGCATTGAGTAGAATTTTTGGGGCTGCGTTGAACGAGGTGTGCCTAATGAAAATTACCAAGCGTAGGATAGGCATTCGACTCCCTTTCATTTTAAAAGGCGTAGATTAAAAAAGTAGCCCCAAACTGAAGAAGAAAATGTCCTTAGTAAATACCATGCAGCATTAAATTAGTTACGGGAGAGTATTTTAATATTGCTCACCGTGTGGTAATTTGTAACGCTTACGGAAGCGAACAAGGTGTAAATTTAGGCACATTTCGCATAAAAATCGCAAAAAATAAAAATGTTGAAGATTTTTCTTGCCCTGTTAAAATGCCAACTCCTTGGAATGCCTAAATTTACTAAAGATATATATATATACTAAATAATTAGCACATTAATTGAGGAGTCGATACTGTGCTCTAGATATCAAGTAAATTGGAATTATTCAACATTTAATTTTATCAATAGGAAAACGTCTTTCCCATTCTCTGCTAATTCGAACTGGTATAATATCCTATTTGTTATCATCCAGTGTAAGTTCTATATTTTAATACAAGGTTTTCCAATAAAAGTGATATAATTTCTTTTAAAAAACATACTAATTGTTAAGGAAATTCAGTCATTTTTATTTAAGTGAGGTACAATCGATACATGTAAGTTCTGAATATAAAATCATTCAACTACTTTTGCAGTAACGAATTCGATAAACCCATTTTTTGAGTAATTTTTCCACTAAATTAAGTCGCATGCCATGAATACCACTTTTGATATTGACTTCAAAAGCTTGGTTTTTTGTTAAAGATCCATGACTTCACAACGTTTGGAGGTCATTCTGTGTCACAATTTCTGGAAATAATCGAATCTCAAAACTTTTCTGCCAATAATTTGGATGAGCTATGTGGCACATACCTGTGTCTTGTTGTTACGAAATGTTGTCAAAATCACTTCTTCCAACATGGCTATAAAAGGTTGGTTATCATCGATGAATGTATATCCATTTACAGTAACGGTGTCACCAACTTGATTTCGAAAGGACTACAGACTGGAGATTCCACCAAACCAAAAACTATTCTAAACAGTCAATTTAGGTGAATGTTATGGATGCTCATGAACAGCTTGTAAATTTTCTTCGCAACATAGTCGACAGTTTTGTTTATTCCCCCACCACTCAGGCAAAAGTGAGCCTCATCGGAGAAGATGATTTTCTTTAAAAAAAATCGTTAACGTTTTAAGTTGTTCCAAGAAAAAATCAGCAAATTCACCACGTTTGCGGTGGTTTAACGGCTTCAGTTCTTGGGAATAATTTTATACGGATGTAAACCGTAAAGCCTTTCTCAAAATCCATCAGGTTGTAGTTTGAAACAGATCTAATTCTTGAGAACATCTTGGATTCGACAAATTGCGGTCTTCAGCAGCACTCCCCTCAACGGCAGCAATATCTTCTTTGCACTTAAACATTATGTAAAGAAAGTATTCCCTCGAGATTGTCAACAACTCGAAAAATAGCGAGCACAGCTGGACAATTATAACGATCATAAAATGGCAACAGTCCATGAAAAGTTACAATTGGAGAAGGATTATTTGATAATAAAATTGAATAATTATTAATCTTTGTTCTTGCGTACACATTACAGAATAAAATTTGAAAAAATTCAGGTCATGTCATATTAAATGGCCGAAACCATATCATCCCCATTGGAAAACGCGGTATAATGGTACTCACCCAAGTTTGCATAACGCTTGTAAAATATTTTACGATTTTTGTTATAGCATCTCCATTATCAACTTGCTTCTATTAAGCATTCAAATATGTCAAATACCTCCGCATTAAAAAATGCTTAATCAAGTATTTCTATATCGATCTTTCCTGTCTCAAGACTTTACCAACAATAAATTTGTAAGTTTTTGGTGCCGAATACTTTAAATTGTTCTTGTCATCCACTCATCCTTAACCACTTAACGGATCGCCCTCGCTTATATATACATACATAGTATTTATATATATATTGTGTATGTATGTATGTAGTATAAAAATATCATAACAACTTTTTTATACCCTGAGCAAGGTGTATTAAGTTTACCACAAATTTGTTACACCCAGAAGGAAACGTCGGATACCTTATAAAGTTTGGACCATATATACTTAAAAGATCAGAGTGACGAGCTGAGACGATTTAGCCAAGCCTCTCTGTCTGTATATGTAGTCTCTCAGTTTTTGAAATAATTTAAGATTTAAAATGTTGAACACGTGCTTTTCTCTCCAAAATACTTTTCGTTTGAGGGAACCGCCGATATCGCAAATGTCTTTCTTACAAACTGAACTATCAATGATAAAGTTCTTCTGTATAATTTTAAACAATTATATACATATATTATATATAAAATTTGATAATGACAACCTTTATTATTATGCACCGCTAAATAACGGTTTACCATATCAACGCTGTACACGCCTGCAGGTATGCAATGCTAAATACCATTTGTCATGAATTTATTGTGTCATGTATACCAGCGGTATGAAAATACCCACACACATTCATAAATGTTAACTGCACACTTTACTATCAAAGGCAATGCGCCAACGCCGTACCTTGCGTGCCGTACGCGTGAAATACCACTATTTATGCCTCAGTTGGTGAAAGTGTAAAGTACGGCTGTTGCATGTAAATCGTTTGATGGAAGAGCACACAACGAAAACAACGACGACGACGACGACACGCCAGCGCAGCAATGACAGAAGCGACATCCTTCTAGGTGCCTTCCGCAACTTTTCTCTTTCGAATGCATTTTTATGCACATATTTGAGCGCAAATACACGCATGCACAGGCTTGCTACACGTCATTGTTTGTGGCATACAACACGGCGATAATTGCAACCAGCTCGGTTGCAAACATTGTACCACGTGGCGTATGCAAATGCCGTTGACGTTGGCGCTGTTGGTAACACCAACTGGTTGCGGCACAATTTTCCTTGCCTTTCGGCTGTGTTCTGAAGAGGAATGAGTGCCGGCAACGCGTCCCGCCAACGCTCCCCTTGCTTTCCTGGGTATGTGCATACCATATACTTTTTATCTGCAATTATGCTCAGGAAAATACGAGTTTCGGTCGCATTTGCACGTCGTTTCGGCGACTTTCCACTCAGTCAACTGCTTAGTTAGCCAACTACTTGTGAGTTGAATTTTGTTTTCATTTTCGTTGTTGGTATTGTTACAAGTTTGCTATAACGGTTCAGCGAAAATGTCACAAAGTGTCATTCATTATGTCATGCACGCGCTCTCACCTGTGTATACTTCTACGTACTATGTATGTTATGCCGGCGCATTTTGCTCATAGCTATGTGTCAACCACTTTGGGGGCCGGTATGCATGTAATAACTATAGTGATAGCGTTCGCATGTAAGTTTGTTTGCAACTTCACTGCATCGCTATCGTTGATACTCGTGTCGGTAGAAAATTTTGTGGCCGCTGAACACCACTGACACCACAACTTTTATCAGCCACATAAATTCTGCCTTAATGCACCATTTTCCAAATGTTTGAAAGTGTAACAATTTCTGCGCTCTTATACACCAGTTACTGTAAACATGGAGATAGCTGTAAATAAAACAGGTGCCAAGGTTCGAGGCGTTGTAACTAAGTGGTACATTTCGAATAGAAGAAAATTGCCTTTATATGTTGCGGCATTTAGCAACCCGATTGTCCCAATCTGGAAACTTCCAATTTGATCGTACACTTTAACATATTTGCTGGTACTTAGAACGTTTTGCATACGAGCGTTATTTGTGTTGTTTACAGTCACTTAAAATATTCTTCTCGGCCAAAAAATTAAATTAAATTGAGCGAATATTTTTACAACTTTTGACAACTATCTCAGCAACAGAACGTAGCTCAACTTATTTCAGTTTTTGATGATGAAGCTCCATCCAAGCACCAGCGTTTATCGATGATATGGTGAACCCAATTGAGGTCGTAGATCACTTGATCGTGAAGGTCGTCCAAAATCAGTAGTTTTCCCAGAGACTTTTGATTCTCCGCGCGAACTGATAGTGCTAAATAGTTATCCGACCTATGAGATCGAAACAAGGCATTGCATTTAATATTGTATGAAAATTTGATTGTTGAAAAATTTTTTAACGTGGAATCTCACACAAATTGTCGATTTTGGATGAGAAAAATGTAACGGGTTGTTTCGATGCTTGGAAACACTTCGTGTGACAGATGAATCATGGATTTTTACGTATGAGCCTGAAAGTAAATAGCAGTCGACTACGGTGGTGAATAAGCCGAATACCCAAAATTTGTTTGCACAACCATTTTTTTACCAGTTGTCTTTTAAGAAATTAGGAAAACCAACTACCGAAGACGGCTCACTCTTGATCACGGTAACACGAGCTCTCACACATCTATCGAAACAACTGTTTTTTTTTTTTTTTTTTTGAGAACATCGATTTGAACAGTCCACCACCGTACACTCCTCACTGAATGGCTTCTTTTTATTCCAGTATGAAAAAAAATAAATAAATAGCTATTTTGGACTTTGAAACGCCAGAGTTGGGTCACGTTTTAACAGTTATATAGTATATTGTTTAGATGTTTGGGTCACGATAAAGTTTAAATAACGCTTTTATGAAATATATCAGTTATCTAAGGAGGGAGATACGTAATAGTATTGCTACTCTTTTATCCTTGGGTCTTTTTTTTATTGGAAATATTATATCTTTTCGTTAGACTTCGTCGTCGAAAACGCTTTTGTCAGTGGTTAGCCTATTAATAATAACTAATCCAAATAGAAATATAATAATAACTGTGAGAAACATTTAATCCTTTCTTTGCAGAATTGTTTCCCAAGCTTCATAAAACATTGTGACACCTAACCTCAAACTACGATGTATACATGTAAAGTTTAAAACCTAGAAAACTCATACCTTATTCGGGCTTTGGTACACAACAACAACATGGCAGAAGAAATAAAGGACTCGAAAGGCACAGGCGACGCGGATCTCCCCATTGCCATCCAGAGAAATGTTACAATCCGACAATTAAATAGAAAAGCTTTTCTCATCTATCCAACTCTGCAAAAGGGAAGAAATATTGACGGTGAAATCAAATACATTCAAAGGAAATTCTCTGCTATAAAAATTGATTTGAAATGCCATAAAATGGGGCTTTCCAAATCTAAAAAGAGGCGTCTACGCAGAAAACGTCAAGAACGTGCCAGACTTAATAAGGGTACACCCGATATGAATAAAGTTGCAGCAAACCCTGTCCTTGTAGGAAATGCAGAAAGCAAAAATGATGGCATTAAGAATGAGCTCGATATAAAGATTAATATTTTAGCTCGAGAAACCAGGGAAGAAAATAGAAATGTAAGCATATTATATCGTAATAATTCAAAGCAAGGGTCAGACACAGTTGCAAAAAGTCCTCTAACATTGGGAAATGTTTATTGTGTTAAGGACAACCTGGTAGTACTAAAAGATAATGCGTTAGATAGTGAAATCAATGCAGAAACCAATAAATCAAACGAAAATAAAGGTATTTTATCTAATGAATCGAATCATGAAAAAAATATTAGATTATCTTCGCGAAAGCGGAAGAAAGATGAGCACTTCTCGAAAAGTACAATCCTATTTCCTACTCAGAATTCTAAACCCACAAAAGAAAACGAAATGTCTGCACAAAGTAAAACAGAAGCTTTGAATTTTTCCAAAATTAATGAATCATCTGCAGATAGAAACTTGAATTACGAATTATCTACACTCAAGTTAGTTGAAAGCAAATTTTTTACGAAAAATGCCAACATATTTGCTTCTATTAGCTCCAAATCTACAAATCATAATGAATCTACAGAAAACCGAAAGGAAACTAAACACGCCTCGAAAAGTAAAAGTGAAACATCCCCTAAAAAATATAAACCAGTTAAATTAGCCACAAAAAACGATATAGATCCCAAGTATTTGTTTCAACCTATCAAGGCTGCTAAATTATCTGCAGATCACAATATGGATACTAAGCTGGCGTCTCAAAGTAAAAGCCAAATCGCTTCTAATAACTCCAAAAGTACAATATATAATGGATTATATGCACAAAGGCCGCAGCGAACTAAGCGCTTTACCAAACGTAGAAGAAAAATATCTCCTAAAAATAGCGGAGTCCCTATTGGGTTAGTTCTTGATAAACTTAAAAGTCGTGAATTTTCTATTATTCATTCGAAGTAACAGGCAGTTTGAACTTACTACGAACAAATGATATTGTTTTCATGTTGAATATTCAAAATTCATTGCTAACAGAAGATTGGATTTTTATAAAACGAAAAGAAAAAATTCAAGAAAAACTGATATTTCATTTGCCTTTGATCGAGCTACCGTAACATCGCTAGAAAAAATTCAGTTTAAAACTTCAGTGCTCAGATCAACATTTACTTTCGAAGAAAATATATTTAAGAAAAGATTTCTGGACATGATTAATGAACCATTTAATTGGTTGGGCGAATGGAGCTGTTTCAGGACATTTCTGCATAAAAAAAGATAAACAAAGTAGGTTTTTTTTAGTAATTTTTATTGGCTTTATTTCCTCTTCCCAGTTTTCACACCATTGTTTGCTTCGTCTGTCATATCCTGTTATGTTATGTTATATGTCAAATAGAGCAGGCTTAATTTTGATAAAACTATTTTTATATCGGTAATACACACAGTATTTAAAATTTAACTGTCGATATATTAAGGAATTCGGTTGTATGATTTTTAGTTTTTATTCGACTGTCTTATATTTTCATATTTAGTTGCATCAATCATAGATATATTAGTTTGCCAAAAAAGTCTTGCGGTATTTTTATTGAATTTTCAATTGTTCATAAAATTTTAAAATGCTACGGCTGCTACTATGCCGGTCTCTTTCGACCAATTCAGCGATTTTATCGCAATTTTCGACGACAGGCCTTCCGGAGCGTGGCGCATCTGCGACCACCTCTACACCAGAACGAAAACGTTGAAACCATCGTTGTGTGGTGGAAATGGAAACTGTATCGGGTCCATAAACTGCACAAATTTTATTGGCGGCTTGTGATGCATTTTTGCCTTTATCGTAGTAGTACTGTAAAATATGCCGTATTTTCTCTTTATTTTGCTGCATGTTTGCGACACTATAACTCACGAACGACTTAAAAGAAACGGCAATCAGTCAAACACGTGTTAGCGCGGGAAATGAGCTTTCCAAAAAGGTATAGCATGCCCCAATGCGACGAATAAAACTTGAACTACGCGCTCTCAGCGCCAACTAGCGAAAATACCGCAAGACTTTTTTGCAAACCATATATGTAGAATTTATTTATGCATGATTGTGTGATTTTTAACATAACTGTCTGATATATCGAAACATATGAATATATATATGTATATACATACATATATTTAATTGCATTGCAGTTATAAACATAGCCTAATAAACTAGTCAGCTACAACTACTAAAGTTCCCACGACAGTCGGGTCTACGTAACCGGCACGGATCCGGATTTTTATCTGGCCAAGAACTGTCAACTCGGCAAAATTTTGCCGCTACAACTAAAACGAATTTAATGCACCGAAACCAAAAAATTGGAAAATAATCTACCTCATGTTGCCGATGTTCAATCAGCTAAACCACTCACTTCAGTGCATCTTCAGAGAAAGAGTAAACTCTGCAAAAGTTTATTCGCAGAAAGGAATAAGCTACTAACTCTAAAAATTTAAAAAAATTAATGTTACATTTGCAATTATATATTATTATTAATTATACTCACCCTATGCAAACAAGTGGAGTTATTTTATTTGAACGTTAACATAGATTGGTGAGATTTTTTCAAAATACTGCGTATATACCAGTTGTGCTCTGGTTTTGAGGTCCACCGCGTCAAAAAGCACCCCCAAGGAAAAGTACCATACCGCCTCGACTAGAACTCCCCTTTTGATACAAGTCACCCATCCATGGAAAACCAAACAAAAAAGCTTTATGAACTTTATTATTTAATGAAATGTGCATAAATTACAAGATATTTAGTATAATTGACGAAAATATATGAGAACCCTAAGCCACAAACCGTAGCTATAGTCGCCTCCGTATGCGAATTAGTGGCTCAATTTCGGTTAGATTTTCCATAGTGAAATTTTTGAAGTTGATTGCAAACTGGAATTACTTTCATATTCAGCCAGTAATCCCTATACAATGGAGATCGCCAATTACGATCAAACATCTATGTGCTAACTATATATGCGCACTCGGGCGGTACAGGTCTTATCCCAGGATCGCATTCCACTGCCGACACCTAAGGTTTATAAAATATAGAAATGTTCAAAATTATAAAAAGTCAAATAGATTGAATAATAATAATAAAATATATGATTTTTAGTCGTATGCCGATTTTATATTATATTATGATACAATATACATATGTATGCTATCGAATATTACGCGTTGAGTGCAAAAATTGCTTAGAATGTACATAAGTATTTTGCTTTTTTGTTTTTGGCTTTCAATTTGAAATTTTTTTATGCTTATACAAAGTAATTTTCCAGCAAATCACATTTAGTTAAAAAGAACATACCTGCATTTGGTGAATTGATAGTAGTCCTAGCACAAAATAGCAAAATGATTTACTAAAATACCACATTTTATTGGTGAGATGTAAAATGTTACTGACTTCACTTTTGCTAGAGTCACTTCTTCTTCTAATTATATATGCTAAAGAAACAATTAAGGGACGGCAAAGTTTAGGCGAAACCGAGCAATAGATACTCCCACAAACTCGATCGGAAATCAGAATCAATCGGAAAGATCAAAATCAATATATTCGGTATAAATTACTGGTGGAATATATACATATTAGTATGTGCTTAAATTAATAATAGCGATTACAAAAACCCTCTTTAGGCACAGATAATCGCCGGTCGGCATCAAAGTAATCCTCCTAAAGATCTAATCAATTGTTTTTTCCACGAGATTCTAAAGCTTGAGAGTGAAAAGGTTGTCAAACAGAGATTAGATGCATGAAGGATGTCGGGGTGAAATCTGGAGGGTAGGAGATTACCTTAATACAGCAGGCAGAGCTCAGTAAAACATTATCATCGTTCGAGAGATGGCGAATTAGACCCGTTTGAACCGCTTTTTCAAATTTTGCATATCTCTAATATTTTTAAAGTGATCAGCAATTTGTTAAAAACCTTGGTCAGATGGAAAACAAAACTTTCTTAAAAAAAAACAGTTGTACGCTGGGTATAAAAACAGAAGTACCGAAACAAATCTCAATGAAATGGACTAATTTTTGCAATTATTGATCTTTTTTTTTTTCATTAATAGCAAACCGGTATCGAATATACCGAAACTTTTATCAAATTGAAATTATGACGCCTACATTGAAAGTGTTAACGAAAATAATCAGTTAGACCCTTTAATTATATAATAAACGTATGAAGGCCACAAAATTTAATATAATAATGGAATCAAAATATATTATAATTATTTCATTTAATATTAACTAACTTAAACAAAGAAAAGGAAATACATATGTAAGTTTATATATGTACTATATATTATCGATATAATTTCAAAAATTGTAAACAGTTGCAAATTGAATCGAATTCGCCTTGTCGAACACGAAGTTACTTCGCAGTTACGGCATTTTTCATTGTTTGTTTTGTATTCTCCAAAGCATTTAGTTTAGCTAGTTGCTTCATGACATCCAACTCTTTGATGAAAGTGGCCAAAACATCCTTCGTACTCTTATAGTCGGCGTCTTTTAAATCGATTAAATCATCCTGACTTTCCAGTTCTGTAAATAAAAGTTAAGTTAACACAAGCAATTATGAAGCAAGATATTATATACGAACCATCTATTTCATTTTCAATATCGTCCAAACGTTTCAATACCAAATTCTGTTGTATTTTAATATGCTCCATTAATCGGTGCTGACACTCAACTGGATCGATAGCTGCTTCCGGTTGTGGTATATTGGGAATGGGATGTGCTGGTGTAGGTGTAGTGGGCTCCGATTTAATTTTCTTAGTGGGCGACACTTTTGCACTCAACACTTTACTGCCGATTTCGGCATCCTCGATCTTAATATCTGGGTCAGATTTTATATCGGATTTGATACTTTGCTGTGCTATGTCTTCCTCCCACTTTTTAGCCCACAAATACAATTTTGGATGACAACGATTATTGACAATGTTCATTTTTACGCGCAACGAATGCATAAAGCGATTTAACTCGACCAAATTTCCAGTGAGAACATGTGATTTCTTCAAAAATTCGAAACGTTTTGGCAGATTTGGATTGGCAATGTGGTAATTGGCCACTGGTAATTTTCCATCATATAACCAATCCTGATCGTGTTTGAAACGCATTGATTCGCGACCACGTTGGGGATTTCGACAAATATAACATACATATTTCTCAGGCACATCCACCTCCTTATCGATGCCATTGCAAATGCCATGTTGCCAGCATAAGCACAGTTCGCATTGTATCATCAAACCGTCTTCCTCGCCGTATGAGCATAAACAATTTATTATTTCCTCTTGACGCATGCTAACAATCTTTATTATTTCGCCGTTTTCCTTTATGTACTGCGGATTATTTACACTGGTTGCACCAGTTATGCCATCAGTTTCATTAGAAGCCGGCGCCAATAGCGGTGGGAACGATGACGATCCCGAGTCAGCGGTTACCGGTGAATCGAGGCTGCTCATTGATGTAACTGGCGCGCCAGAGGATTTTCGTTTCTTGCCAACCTCTACAACTTTGGCGTCCGGGGTGGCGTTAAAGGAGTGGCGAGTCTCCTCGAAATCGGACACACCGAAGCTATTATCACCGGTGACAACCGGTAGCAAAGATGTACCTGCTGTGGCTTGTGCCGCTGTCAAATATCGCTTGGTGGTGCGCTGACGGTTGCTTTTGCGTGAGCCCAGGGCACGCTTATTCGGTGACATGCGCGAACGTTTGGTTGGTATACCCGAAATGTCGGACAAACTATCATCAATGGCAATTGAAGTAACTGCAGCTACCTCTACCGCTGTACTATTATGACTATCTTGTACCGAACTATTAAGCAAGGTGTCATTGAGACCGACAGAGATTTGTGAAGTCTCTGCATCAGCGTCTGTTTCCATCTTGTTATCGGCTTCACATTTTAAATCTGTGGTAGTCACCGTAGTCTGAGGAATACCGCCAGTTGTTGCGGTATGTGTACCAGCGCTACGTCGATGTGCGCGCGTTTGTAGTAAATCTTGTTGATGTAGCTTAGCAAAGAATTGCTGATTTGGAATTTGATTGCGCGGAGCAGGTTCATGTTGGTCGGGTTTGGTATGTGTACGTTTTTCGGCCAGATCAAGCATCTTTGGACACGAACCCAGAAGCTTATTCAAATCAGGATGATAGTGCTTAACATGGATTTGCAAGTGGTCCTCCTTGCGGAAGTTCTTCAAACAGCCCTCTTGGGGACAACGGAAAAGGTTATTGATTATTTGCACCTTTAGTCCACCAATGTAAGCTAAAAATAAATGCAAAGATGTTTTAAATTTAGCAGTAAAAAATAAAGCAAATATTTACCATAACCATCTTCTGCTGGCAAATTAGCGTCCACGGAGCGTCCCGAAACAGTGTCAGCATTGTCTATTATATCTAGTGTAACGTCTTTCAAAGGAGAATCTCTTGCCAAAGTTGGCGTCATCAGTTCTGCTGGCGGTTCGGCCGAGGCCACGGGTGTTTCGATATATTGTGAAGTGCTGACAGCAAGTGCTGTTGTAGCTGCTTTCACACTTGCTGCATCCATGGCGGCAATTGTCGTTTCTAGTGCTTTTGGTTTTGGCGGTGGCTGTGGTGTATAATCAGGCGTATACACATAGGCGTTTATATCCTTTGCACGACGTCGATGAATGCTAAAATCATATATATCGGGGTTGTACACCTGCCCTTGCTCCTCAAGAAAAATTTTCAAATCAGCTTTTGAGCGAAAACGTTTTCCACCTGGCGTAACTAATATGACATCCCATTTGCCTAAGACATTTGAACGCTGATACATATGTTTCACCCAGCCTGGTGGCAGACGCCAATCTTCAACGATTACAGTGGGCTTTCGGTGCTCACCGACAATAAGATAACCTTCTTTCCCAATGGGTTGATCGTTCACCCAATGGCATGTCCATTCTCCGTCTTTTGGAATATCGGGTAAATTTAGTGAAGCTAAAAAAAATACAATAATTTAGTACATTTTTGTTTATTTATGCTACCATTAGGCTTACATAAATCCAATTTTGCCAGATCAAGTAAAGGCCAATCCTTTCGAGAACCAGATGAAGCACGCTTCTTTCCCATTGTTGAACTTGACGTCACTGGTAATGGCGATTCGGTATTTGGAGTTTTTAGTCCTGCTGTGTCTGACAAATTGTTTAATGGTGTATGTGGAGTGCTTGGTATAGTCGGCGACGATGACATTGGTACTTGTAAATCTGGATCCAATGGTAATATTTTATTAATATGTACTGCGCGCACATTTTTTACATAGCCATCATCAAAGAGTACTTCGTACATATCATTTCCGAGTATTTTCTTAATTGTGCCAGGGAATTTTCTGGGCCCAGACCAACGTGCCATACACTTCTCTTCCAGCTCAAAAACTGGTACTGGCTTTGTTGAGACTTTTTGACGCAAACGCGTTGAATTCATGGGTATCCACTCTTCTGTGCCGACAACTGCCGATTTTACTTTACCAGAACGTTCAAATTTTATTAGCACTTCTCTGTCATCATTGTCAACTTCAACCACACGCGCTGCATGCCATACTCCATCAAAATCTTGTGCTTCTAATCTTGCACCGGGATTGAATGACGTGACCGGCTCAAATTTAACAGCAGCCGGCGATGCCGCAACTGGTGTAGTTACGGGCGATGCAGTTTCAACATCATCCTTTACGGCATTTGCATTAGCTTTTGCTGCACTACGTTCAGCAGTTTCAGCCATTATTTGTGCAACCTTGGCTTCTACTGTTGCTTTTGTAGCATCCTCAGTTGATTGATTTGTAAGACTTGATGTATTCATGCTATTATTTTTTAGATCTTCTAAATCAGATTCAACTTGTGTTGGATCGACTTTTCCCCACGGAAATACTGTGGGAAATACGCGTTGTTTAAGTAGATACTTTCCACTACGTTGTGGTTGGAAATCGATACGACGAAAATGTCGTGAGCACACAAGCACGCTTTTGGTTATTTGTCGTTCTGAGCTAAGCCGGGTATTACGCAGCCAAATAGCGCGTATGTTGGAATCCAAGGGAAATGAGTGGTATGTGACACCATGATGTTCCGGTAAACGAGAGGTAGAGTTGCATCCAGTTACACAACAGCGACGACCCATTTTCAGTGCTTTTATTTTCCAAAGATGCACCACTTTCGATATAAAGTATATATATGTATATTTATTTCTTGTCGTGTTAGGTAGTGATCCGTCACACGAGAATTATTATTATTTTTATCTCTATTTCATTATATATCAAACTCTCACTACTTGAATCGCTTAAAAGTATATTTTTGATTTGAGAAAGTGAGCACTATTTTACTATTTAAACTATTTGTTTAATTTGTAATCAAATTGGTAAAACTTGTGAAAATGCCACTAAAGTCAATTGCAATAGCCAACTGCTTTATCGACACACATGTGCCAA